TTATATTATATTATATTATATTATATTATATTATATTATATTATATTTATTATATTATATTATTATATTATATTATTATTATATTATATTATACATATATTGTATTATATCATATCATATCATATCATATCATAGCTTTAAATCAGTAACAAAATCTTGTTTTCTCAAGTTTCAATTTTCTTTTTGGTTCAGTGGCTGAAAGGCAATCTCACCCTTTACCTCTGTCCACTGACACTAAGCCACTTATGTTTGACATTAAGCTCTGGTGTATTGTCTGGTATCTTGTTTAATCCCTGATCATTTGAAATGTTAATTCTGCCTAAAAATGTTTCACAGTATCTTTCCAGGCAAAATCAAATCAAGAATCATGTTTAAGGTTAAAACATGAATCATACAATGTGTATGAGTGAATCCATATGTCATAAAAAGTAAGTTTCCTTTAGATGGAGCTTGATTTTTGGTAATTTGGTTATTACATGGACACATCCATTTGTTTTTCTTAGCAACAGTTTGGGTATTTCCTTGCCTTCCTATCCGATCTATAGTTTTCCACCAAAGTTTAAGCTTCCTTAGTAATTTTGAGCATCTAAAGATTCATGGAAGATTTTATACATTATACATTTAACCATGCTGTGAAATCAATAGACATGTACAACCAACTATATGAAGGTATATTCGATAAGAAGGTCATGTTTCTCAGCTATATCAACATAAGCTACTTATACTTCATAAGTGGTGGATGTAGGCAAAATTACACTGACTTGCAAGGCAATCTCTAGAAGAGAATTTTAGCATCTATAGTACTGCATGAATATCTTTGGAGTAAAACTTGCTTTGGTTATCTTATGGCATATTGGCCAACATTTGCCTAACCAGGAATATACTTATCATTAGCTAGGAATGATGCAGGTGGCGCTGATATAACAAAGTAGTGATCTAGTCAATATCTCCTTTCTTTTGCTAAAAAAAAACCTTGATTGATCAAACTTGTGAGGGGTAGAAAAAAATGAGTATCTGTGGATCCATTTGATGATAATCATGGCAAGGTATAGAAGACTATAACATGTAAAGTGAATGGTAAATGGTAAAGAACAGAAATTACTGAATAAACTGAATAAAATACATACACTGGGTATCTGTGAAATTAAAAAAAGGGGGAACGTGTGGCACCCATCCTCTGGAATATTATTCCCCCTGAGATTACACTTGCCTGAACCCTACTTGGGACTGCCATCTAGGCTGTGACCATAACAGTATGGTTCATGGCTGATTTAAATATTGGATATTATTGATGTTCTCTGTGCAGCTATTTTTATACCACTGATTCATTTTTAAATTTTGTCTCTTTTTAATTTGTTTTAATTGTTAGCCATATATATGAAATGGGTGGCCACGTAAGATGATAGATATGAATGAATGAATGAATGAATGAATGAATGAATGAGGTCCGATTTTGTGAAATTGATGAATGCATGAAAGAAAAGGAAAGGAACTTGAAATGGAATGGGTTCAAGTTGAGCAGTTGGAAGAAGAACTTCTCCTGTTCTGAAACAGATAAGATGAGTAAACTCTAGTATTAATACTCTGAATAGAAAAAAGCTATGAAAATGCTAGCACGGGTAATCAAATATATCTAACAAATCAGAATTATTAAGCAAATAAATATTGCTGACCATCTACCAAACATATATTAGCTCAAACTTCCCCAAGTGATGGAAAAGATGTTGGGACTACAACACTCAGGTTTTGCAAGCAGCATAAATATAGTGGCTAGAAACTACCATGAAGGACTTCTACACCAACACAACTTCATAGCACCCATGAAGAAGGCTGCATTATTCATTATAACATACTGCTTATGGCGAAGAATATAATCTTAATGTAGACTGTGATGAGGAAACCCTTAATGTTTTAAAAAGTCTATGGCTGTAATTCTGTGCAGAAGCTCCCCTTTCTCATGTACGCTGACCATTCTGTTTGCCTCACATACTTATCACATGCCACTGTATCCATTAGATATCTTTTAATGTTCAATTGACTAATTAACTACATGGATTTATGGCAGAGTTATAGAGTATCCTACTGAAAAGGCCA